TTTACAGTCACCACCAAGGGTCCTGCCCTACTGGTTCAGAACAGAAATCCTTATCTGATAAATATCCCGGGGCTGTGACATTGTCTTTCTTTTGATTGTGGGAGCAATCATATAGCAGACTGCCTGAAACATCTCAACTCAAGAGTTCTGAGACAAGCAGGTGCCTAGAACTTCTTGCTTATCTGTGATTCTTTGATGAGTTCTAAGCACACTCTATACTGAAAATGGACCATGACGATTTATTTCTTAGGATGTTAATATACCTTCTCTGACAGCTCCATCTAAATCAAGCAGTTCCCATTATTCTTTCATCTCCTAGTGCAGAAAAAAATACACTACTCAACATTATATATGTATTCCTCCAGGAGCTTAGGAGGCGGTAGGGCATGCAGAGTTACTATTGGGTTATGGTTTCAAATCCAGATTCTGCTGTTTCTGCATGATGCAACCCTTGTTATGAAAACACATGAGTTTCTCCATCTCTAAAATGGTAGTGATGGAAATGGATACTATTTTGGGGACTGGGGAGACAGCTCCGTTGGTAAAGTGCTTGCTGTGTGGGCATGAAAACCCGAGTTCAATTGCTACAACCCATTTTCTTCTTTTTTTAAATCCAGTGATATGTGATAGTGTATGCTTATAATGCCAGAGCTAGGGAGGCAAAGACCAGTGGGTCCCTGGGGTTTAGTGGCCAGCCAGCCCAGCTTAATTAGTGCACCCCAAGGCAGCAGGAGACCCCATCTCAAAAATCAAACAAAACTGAAGTGGATGGTGCATAAGGAACAATACCCATGGTTGATCTCTGGCCTCCATGATATATATACTGGATTGTTATACGTGATCATGCACATACACACATGTGTATGCCCCCACCATGTAGGCATACACAAAACAACATAGTTTCTACTTCAAAAGCACTATAGTAAGAATGAAACAAGTTACCATGTATGTGCAGAGCCTAGATTAGTGCTTGGGACCACGTGACCATTCAGCAGTCTGCTGTTGTTTATTGGCTGTTAGCCTGCTGGAATGCGCAATATGGACAGGGACTTTGTCCTTAAATGGCCACAGTGCCCAAACGGTTGCTTCTGAAGCACATGCCAAAGCCAGACTAAATATTTGTTACCTTCAAATGTGAATGGCAAAGGCCTGCGGGGCCTCTGTCCACAAAGTCCACAAGCAGAGATCACTCTATTGCTTGAAACCTAAATTTCTCCTGATCTCAGAGTCCTCAGTTTTGTGTTTGTCATGAAAGTGCTGTCAAGTGGCAGTACAGTGATGGACATTAAAGTTCAGAGGGCCAGTTAACAAGAGCCAGAGAAACCCAGGCTCGCTTACGAATGCAAGCGGACTTAACATTGACGTTGTGAGAGAATTTCTGTTTCAACAAACTACCACCCACGTAATGAAACTGAACCATTTCATCGGAAATTGGCGAGCTTGATTTCTGTTCCTGACTATTGGAACTGGCTCTGTGGCTGTATGCAATCTGATGTCAGTCCACGGTGCTCTGGCACCTTCTGCTGATGAGCTAGAGAAGTTCCCTTCCTCTGCGGCGTGTCACTGCTGTGAGTCACTCTTTATGACTCAGACTCAGGCAGAATCCAAATCAGATGCCTGGCAGCTTTGGGATTGGCTTCCATTGGTCAGTTAGCAACAGAGACCCCTGGCCAGCTGTTACTCAGAGTCCACTGTAGGAGACAGCATGGCAGTAACCAGCAATTTTATCCTAAATATCAACTTCTGTCAATTGTTTGTGCCTCAAATCATGTAAGTCAACAGTGGGAGCATTCGTCACCAAGGAAACCAACAGGGCAGTGTAATTCCCCCACAAGATCTGCTCCTCTAGCTCCACCAAAGCAGATTTTTTTCCAGTTGTACTAATGGTTATTCCTCCATGGCAAGGAGCCTGGGAAAGAATGTGCTAGTCACTGGGCGGCGGTGGTGCATGCCTTTGATCCCAGCATTCGGGAGGCAGAGGCAGATCTCTGAATTTGAGAACAGCCTGGTCTATGAAGTGAGTTCCAGGACAGCCAGAGTTTATTACACAGAGAAACCCTGACTTGAAAAACCAGAGAATGTGCCACTCTCATGGTGGCAAATTTTGAGTCTGGTCCTCTATCTTGAACCCCTTATTTCTGTCAGGTCCCCACTGGCCAGCTGATTCTTCACCCCTCACAGTATAACAGCTACACAACTCTGTGTCTTCCCCACCCAAACCTGCCAGCTCTCCTGGAGCCAGGTCTATTCTAATACCATCTCCTAGCCACCACCATCATGGGAGCCGGACATGACATTATGGATGAGAGCATGACCTCTGGATAAAAATCCTAGCTTTGGAATTTACCAGGGATGTGCCATAGGCAAGGCTTTTGCCCCCATTTCTTCATCTGTAAAATGAAGTTCTTTATACCTTTACCATAAAAATCCAAAGATCAGAAACAAAATGTTCATATAGACATAAAATAGGGATTGTTAGCGGCACCGGTGAAATTTATTTCTGTTCACCCCGTTATTCACTGAGGACTGTTCCTATCTCTCTGTCCCTCCTCCCTTCCCCTCTGCTGTCTTCTAGCTCATAACCATGGCATTTTGATTTGAGACAAATTAAGCCACTGTTATTTCATCTATTCCTGAAAGAGTTGCCAGATATCTAAGTCCATGCACATCTATGATCAAAGACCTTTGGTGGACCTCCCTTGTCCAAATAGCATTGTCCTGAGTGGGCTTTTAAGAGTCTGGAAGCTCTGATACCTTTCTTGTTTGTTTGCTTGTTTTTTGTTTGTTTGTTTGTTTGTTTACCACCTTCAACTCCTAACACGCTCTGTCTTTTGGCTGTTGTCAATTCTTTCTCTTCCTCCACAAACCCTACCAGTTTTCTTCTGACTTGTGTTTGTCTGAGGTTGACTGCCTCTGATCCTCGGGCTCTAGACAATGCTATGTTTTCCATCAACTCAGCCCAGTCCCCTCATTGGAATTATCGAGTCCCCACCCCAGAGCTTTGCTTCAATGTGGATCTGGAGCTAACAGTGTTGTCGTTCACATTAGCCTGTCTTTGCCCACACTCAGCTAAGCCTTGGCACTCAGGTAAGCCTTGCTGAGTGGAACAGAACGGAACAGTCTACCTAGCAGCTGCCTGACATTGCCCCTGGATGTCTCCAGCTCATGGAGGTTCCTTGAAGATTGACACTTCACAAATTAGCATCCTGGTCCAGCTGAAAGAGCACCAAAGAGCCCTCCCAACAGAAAGCACACAAGAATCATAATGGCAACATCACTCTGTGGCGTGGCAGACGAGGAGGAAATAAAGTTCAATGAATGCAGACTCAATACTGGTGTTCTAAAGCCTTCCTTCTGACTTTGTTGTGTAGAGGGAAGCTGCTGACTGTCATCTCCTCAGGGATACTGGAAAAGCCCTCCCCCCGCCCCCCACCCCCGCCCCCCACCCCACCGACCTTCTCCAGTTGGATTTTTACTGAGGGTACAGATTTCAAAGCTGAGACTGACTGTGTGGCCACAGAAGGTCCCAGATAGAAGAATGTAGCTGATGCTGAAGACACTTTTTTATGGTGGACTCCATCCGCTGCCCACTAGCAGCGACCTAAAGGGTGGGACAGAGAGAGAACACAAGCCAGGAATGATGCCCTGGGAATGGCTGCCTGTCTCCCTCAAACTTTTCCAAATGTCCCAGTGATCCTCTGAATCAGGAACGAGTCTTTTTTTTTTTTATTTATTTATTTTATTTTACAATACTATTCAGTTCTACATAACAGCCACAGATTCCCTTGTTCTCCCCCTTCCTGCCCCCTCCCCTTCCCCCCAGCCCACCCCCCATTCCCACCACCTCCAGATCAAGGCCACCCCCGAGGACTGAGATCGACCTGATAGACTCAGTCCAGGCAGGTCCAGTCCCCTCCTCCCAGATTGAGCCAAGCGTCCCTGCATAAGTCCCAGGTTTCAAACAGCCAACTCATGCAACGAGTCCAGGACCTGGTACCACTGCCTAGATGCCTCCCAAACAGATCAAGCCAATCGATTGTCTCACCTATTCAGAGGGCCTGATCCAGTTGGGGGCCCCTCAGCCTTTGGCTCATAGTTCATGTGTTTCCATTCGTTTGGCTATTTGTCCCTGTGCTTTATCCAACCTTGGTCTCAACAATTCTCGCTCATATAAACCCTCCTCTTTCTCACTAATTAGACTCCCAGCGCTCCACCCGGGGCCTAGCCATGGATGTCTGCATCCAGATTCCTCAGTCCTTCAGGAATGAGTCTTTTAATCAGCCGTAGTAGTTCAGCATCTTTGCAAAGTCACCACTCAGCTGGTACAAGGCAACTCAGTGGTAGTCAACGGGTCGATGTGAACCTTGACATTTGCTAGTTTATAGTACTTTCTTATTCCGGGAGTCTGGAATAAGCAGTCATAGCACCCATACATCCCGCATTCAGGACCAAGGCCAGTACGAGCAGACAGCACAGCTGGACGTGAGCTACAGCAGCTAGGGAAAGGCCTGACCACCGTCCATGCCACCACCCACTTCTGGCTATTAGCTGCGTCTTCCTGGACTGTAAAGGGGAGGGGCTGTGACCTCGGCTTTGTATACCCAACTTTCAGATCAAAGGTTAGGTTCTAGTAGAATTAAGTGATTGTTAAATGAACAAATCAATGCACTTTCCGGAGAAGTACTCAGAGCGGGACCAACCAGACAGTTTTCGCATATGGGAAGTATGTGTTTCTTTTCTCGGTGTTTGTTACATTAACTATGTGCATTAGCATGACTATTAAGTCATTTTTTAGCTCTGAAATTTAGGAAATGGAATAAAAGTTCTGGGTCTGGGACTATATAGGAAGAGCAAATAGTAAGAAGATTTGCTGAAGTCAGACAATCTCAGCTCGCCAGGGCCATCCCAACTCCTGCCGGGAAGCATTCATCTCAAGGGTAGCTTGGGAGACTTACTCTTCAGTTCTTCTACACCCTGTAGCTGAGTTACAGAATAACCCGGCAACAATGCCCCAGAATTCACCCCACTATTAAACTAGAGCAAAGTCCACAGCAGGTTTCATGGAGAAGTGCCGAGCAAAGGCCAGGACTCCAGGAAAGGACGACCACAGACCAGGGACAGTCGCCTGTCCTGAGTGAGGATCCCTGTGCCAGCCCCAGCTGTGGGGGGCCATGAGCTCTGTGCTGTCCACCTTCTTGCAGGAACTCCCAGGCCCGTTCCTAGTCCTGGGGATCTTCCTGCCCGTGACTCTGCTGCTTCTCCTCCTGATTGCCTACTTCAGGATCAAATTGATGGCGGGTAAGTGTGAAGAAAGAGCTGGTCCTGAAAACACACCAAAGCTCTGGGAAGCTGGAGAAACGTACCTTCTGGGTTGACAGATGTTTCTGCCCCAGCCCTCCCTTAAGATCCTTGATGAACTTGGGCAAAGTTTGATACTTTCAACTCCGTGGGTGATGAGGTAGGTAGGGTTTGACCACTTGCTACAGGGACTCCTTCTCTGTAGTTCTTGGTGGACAGACAGCTGTGAGTCAGCAAACTGGATATAAGGTTTCTTGTTTGTCTCCTAAGGCAACAGATTCATAAGCATTACTCTATCCATGGTCTGCCTTTCCTATGTGACAGATGTGTGTGTATGTCATGGTCCTTGTAAGGACTACTGTCAGTCACACATACGCTGGGTTCCCATTGACACCAAGTGCCCAGGGAGAGGTTAAAGGATTTGGATGTCACGGGTGGGAACTTGGGTCCACTTTATCACTCTCAAGTCTTACCTCGGCTGCTTCTTGGACAAGATTGACTTTCACAACCTCAGAAATGTATCAACCATGAAATGAGGAACAGAGCAGGTCAATACAGTCTCAGTACATACATACCCATGTGCATGGCTCTACACACACACACACACACATACACATACACATCTATGCATATATATATATATATATATGTATGTATGTATGTATGTATTTGATCATGTGCATATGCACACAACATCCTCAGCCACTGAACTTCTGCTTAAGAAATGTTCCAAGCATTTTGTTATCAGTGTTTAGCCAATGCAAAATACTAGATACTGGACTATAGCAGAAACTTCCTATAAAACCATAGTATTGTATTTAAAAAAGACAAAATATATTCAGAAGCTTAAGGTGATCTTTCATGGGGATGTGGATCCTGATGTAATAGGTGATGATTGAAGGTAATTGAGCTTCATTGAGCTGATGTAATAGAAATTGAAGGAGCTAGACTGTGTTTTGAGAGGCTACATTTTGATTTGGTTTTCAGTAAATATTAGATGCCATAAAGATTAACACTCATTTTAGTAATGCCACTAAAGATCAACCTGCTTCCTAATTTGGATGGTTTCATATCAAACTATGAAAAAAGCAAAATTGCAAGCTGGCCATGGTTGTGCACAGCTATAATGCTAGCACTCAGCAGTTCAAGCAGGAGGTCTGATTATATTTGAGTTAACATGGGCTACAGTGTGAGACTCCATCTTAAAACACATGCCTTTAGTCCCAGCACTCAGGAGGCAGAGGCAGGTGAGGCTAACTTGGTTTACAGAGTGTGTTACAGAACAGCCAAGGTTATACAGAGAAACTCTGTCTTGGAAAACCAAAAAGCAAATGGAAAGTCCCTGGTCTTCTACAAAATCTTGCCAAGTTCAAGCAATGCCTTCCTGTATGCTATTAAGTAATACCCAATAACTGGTGCCCACAGCAGAATAATTAGGGACACTTATGTCTAAGGTGGTACTTAGAACACAGAGAACATAGATTGCACTACAGAATCCTACTTCCCATCAGAGCCTACTGGAGAACCCTGTAGCCCAGTGGTTCTCAACCTTCCTAATGCTGAGACCCTTTAATACAGTTCCTCATTTTGTAGGGATTCCAACCATAAAATTATTCTTGTTGCTACTTCACAGCTGTAATTTTGCCACTGTTATGAATTATAATGTAAATATCTGTGCTTTCTGATGGTCTTAAGTGACCCCTGTGAAAAGGTCATGACCCACAGTTTGAGAACCACTGCCATAGCCTTCCGTGTCTCATTTTTATGAACAGCTCTTATCCATGCTCTACAGGACCCATGTGACAAATTCTTTTCTTTATAAAGAGAGTCACTGTCCTCAAGATCGGTCTTCTGGAAACTCTGCATCCAGATGTTTAGGATTCCCAAGCCTTGGAAAGACTCCAAAACAAGGAGGGAACTGAAAATGAAGACTCCCAGGCCTTCATGGCAGTGTTCCCTCAGGCTTGCACATTGGCTCGTTGCTCAGGGGTGCAAACATTTCCCCGTGGAAGACCCTTCACGGTCACCACAGTGACCACTTCCAGTCACAGATGCCCCGGGTTCCCACTGACACTGGGAAGCAGAAGAAGGGGGTGTCAGTCAAGGACCTAAGTTCTTTACATACTTCAGTTTTATCTCCAGTCACTCCTTAAGCAAGATAAAATCTACAGCGTCTCAAAAAGCACAAAATAAGGCCAAAAGGTCAAACGAGCTTCTTGGATCTCAGTCTTTCAACCTCTGCTCGACAATTATGAATGATTGGGTGATTCTGTGGGACATTTGCTATCTGGGAGAGTCTCTAAAAAGAAAACAGCTCAGTTTTACCACTTTTCTTTTCCCTGGGAAAATATCTATAACATGAAAAACATAATTGAGTGCCCAGTGTTTTTACTGCTGTGATGAAACATCATGACCAAAAGCAACTTGAAAAGGAAAGAGTTTATCTGGCAAACATATCCTGAATCACAGTCCATTAAGGGAAGGGAAAGCAGAAACTAAAACTTGGTAGGTATCTGGAGGAGAAGCTGAAGCAGAGGCCATGGAGGGGTGCTGCTTACTGGCTCGCTCCTGCCTTCTTATAAAACCCAGGACCACCAGCCCAGGGGTGGCACTGTCCACAGTGGGCTTGGCCCTCCTACATCCATTATTAATCAAGAAAATGCCCTACAGGTTTCCTACAGTCTAATCTCCTGGAAGCATTTTCTCAGATGAGGTTCCCTTCTCTCAGAGGATAATGTGTCAAATTGACATTAAGAAATAGCCAGGACAGTGCTGTTGACCACACTGCTTGGTCTAGAACTGCCCAAGGTATACATATCACTGTGACTATTGCAGAATGGCCTCCATCTGTCCTCAGCACATCCCTATCTAGGTAATTCGCCTAGAGATCAAGTCATAATAAAAACCACATAATGACATTTTTAACTCAACAGCACTGGGAAATGATGTTGAAGCATGTAAGTAAAGGGAGCCGAATAACTAGTACTTCATCCTTCTCTCTCCAAATGATATATGCTAGTGAGCTTGTCCTAACTCCTAGATTTTCTCACACCATGGGTCTGCTCCTTTCCTCTCAAATTTTTTATACTTTGAAACATAAGATTGACCCTAGGGGGCAGTGACACTGGAGCCTCACACAATGAGAGGCACAGAGCATGGGTGAATTCCTTCAAACAACTTGAACGCTTGCTCCAAACATACGTCCTTCCTCTAGATAACAGTTGTTAGTCATTCAACAAAGATTTGTGAAGTTACTTGAGGCAGTTTTCTGCTCTTATGACTGAACACCACAGAGTAATTTATTTTTTAAAAATTAAACATTTCCTATAGTTCTGAAGACTGGGAAATCCAAGGTCAAGTGGCCCCATCCAGAGAGTTCGCACTTGTTTGTAGAGACTCCGTGGTCTAAGGCAGCACACAGCAAGAGGGGTGTATCTAAAAGACAGATCCAAATTATTTTAAGTTCTGGTTTTTTGTTTGTTTTGTTTTTCGAGGCAGGGTTTCTCTGTGTAGCCTTAGCTGTCCAGAAAATGGCTCTGTAGACCAGGCTGGCCTTGAACTCACAGAGATCCATCTGCCTCTGCCTCTGCCTCCCAAGTGTTGGGATTAAAAGCATGCAACCACCACAGCCTGGCTCAAAGTTCTGCTCTTAAAGGCCCCATCTGGGCCTAGAGCTTTAGAATCTCATAATAGTGAAACTTCAGTGTGAGCTCTGTGGCAAACTACATTCCAGTACTACTATATCTTATGGCAGCGGGACAGATTTTCACGATAGACTTTGAGACCAAGAGGAAACAGTCTTACATTTAGAAAGCTACAAAATGCATCAGAAAAAAATGTAATCCAACACTAGTTACATAAATCTGCATGTTTCTGATCTTGTCCTCAGACCAAGTTAAGGCTAAACTCTGCCCTTGAACCCAGCCAAGGCTGAACCCCGATCTTCCACTTTAGTCTTTTTCAAAATGTCAAAGCTGTGACCTCTCACCAGGCAGGGTCCTCTAACACCTAAGGGACATCCCCAGTGATGGAACAAGTCACCTTTTCCATTGTCACCCTCTTTTGCTGGTTCTCAATGAAGTAAGTACATCCAGGCTGTAGGCGGAGAAGCCAGGAGTACAGAAAGCACCATTAACTACAGTGGGACAATGCTGTGCATCAGTTACTTAACACAATAGATGTCTCATCTACCGCTTGTCGCTTAAAAACTGTAGTTCTTTCTGTAGTCATTTCCTAAGGGTGTGTGGTATTATTCCCTCTCCAGTTAGAGGGCACATGAGGTCCTTTGGTCCAAATTAAAACATCACCAGTTTTATCCATTGAAGAGCATCAATTTAAAAATTATAAACATATGGGCAAGTGTCTCATATAGTTAATCTTCTCCCCAGGGTTACAGCAAGTGCAATCATTCCTATTTTGTTTCTGTAAAGAGAAGGACATTGACAGATTAACTGGTGTGTTCACAGAACTCCAGAGTCCGACATTCCAAAATGGAAAACCAGCCTGTGTACCTCATATATCCTAACTTTAGACAGAGCGTCACTTTTAGATATGATGGGAAGTGAGTGGAGGTAATGTCATCATTCAACATTAATCCCTACTCTTCAAGCCTTGAGAGGTAATGGTGCATGGAAATTTAATTAGTATGTAGAGAACATCAATTTTCTCACAAAGGAAGAAAGAAATTTCTCTAACATCCTGCACACTTTAGTCTGTCATTTGCCTTGAGAAACAGCTCTTGGGGTGGAGGACTGAGTCTTAAAACTTTCTAGAAATAGACAAACCCCCCATCATCACTGCCATGGACATTTTTCACTCCCTAGGGTGCAAGCTGTGATCTTCCTTTCTCTCCAGTATTCCAAAATCTCTATCTCTAGCACCACCTACCTCCCAAGGTATCATAACCCTGATCAAGAATAAACTGCTCTAAAACAACCAATAGTATCAAAAGCAGTCATTGTATTAGAGTGTATCTGCTGAACGCCCAAGAGTTTAGTTAGATATAAAATAAGTAAAGCTAACATTGGATCAGGTTGTGACCTTCAGCAGCTGTGCATTATAAAAAAAGACAAGGAACATCTGAAAACACAGTGCATTAAGCTAAAGCATCTTCCACTGAATGTCATGCCTAGATTTTAGTTCTGTGTAAAGAGGAACGAGTTAGGAGAGTGAAGTTGCTAAGATTCCTGACTACAGGGGATTACTATTAGTATTTGAGTCTGGAACATGGTTTCTCTACTTAATCTAAAGCTTCAGCCTCCTCATCTGTAAAATAGAAATAAAAATAGCAGGGTTAAGCTATAGGGTCGGTGTGGGAAATGAGCAGCTACAGAGAGTAGTTGATTTTTTTTTTACTCTGGAGGCCCACCACCCAGCACCCAAATAAATACTCAGAGACTTATTCTTACTTATGAATGCCTGGCCTTAGCTTGGCTTGTTTCTAGTCAGCTATTCTAACTTAAATTATCCTGTTTCTCTTTAATTACATGTTGCCTCTGGGCTTTTTAATCTTTCTTTATTCTATGTATCGTTATTTCCTTCTTATTCCGTGGCTGGCTGTGTGGCTGTGTGGCTGCGTGGCTGGCCCCTGATGTCCTCCTCTCCTTTTCTCGCTCCTCCCTCTTCCCTAGATTTCTCCTCCTATTTATTCTCACTGCATGCCAGTCCTGCCTATCCTTTCTCCTGCCTTGCTATTGGCTGTTCAGCTCTTTATTAGACCAATCAGGTGTTTTAGGCAGTTAAAGTAACACAGCTTTACAGAGTTAAACTAATGCAACATAAAAGAATGCAACACATTTTTGCATCATTAAACAAATATTGCACAGCATAAATGAATGTAATACATCTTAAACTAATATTTCACAAGAGATGTTCAAAACAGTCCCCATCCTGAAAAATGATAAACCACTATTACTCCTGCTGCTTATCAATCCCAAGAAATCCCTATTTATGTCATTATAGGTATCATTATAATTGCCTTATAATAATCAAGCCACCCTTGGTAACTCACCTAGAAAGCAGTAGACACAATATGAATCCTGGCTATCGGGCTCCAGGGCTAGCTTTCTTAGCCCACACAAAACCAGGCAGGTTTCCTATCAGCTAATGGGCTTTTTTTGGTCCAGGCAAATAAACTCACTACCAAGTTGAAAGGCAACTGTGGGAAATCTGTAAATAAGGGAAGAATGTTTACAAAAGCTTTGGGTGGATTGGTGTTTTAATATAAAAGAAATACAATTTGTTCCTAATGATGGTAATTCTTTCACATAAATATTTATCCTGAGCCAGGGAAAATTCTTCACCCATGGCCCAACAGAGAAAAATCCTTATTGCTCCCAGAATTGTCCATAACAAACCCAGGTATCTCTTCAAGCCACCTGCTTAATTTCTCTCTGCACATCCTCCCTAATAGACTCTTGGGATTAATATGATAGCCCAAGCTGTTTAATATGATTGCAAGCAGTTCGGGGAGAGGAGTAAATTATTTCAATTCTCTTATTTTCTACAGAATGCCTTTGGCAGACATTTGGTCACTGGCTAAATTACTACAGCTCGCTAAACTCTCCTTCCCTCATCCTAGGTCTCTGTGTTTTTGTTTTTGTTTTGTTTTGTTGTTTTTCAGCTCTCTCCCTTTAGTCTCTTATTTGGGCCACCCATTTTCGGTCCTGCATTTAAAGCACTTCTTATCCAGGTGGAAAAGAAATTACTATTATTCCAATGAGTTCATACTCTCAGAGGTCATCTCAAAGGAGTATCTTTAAAATAGCAAATCGTATATATGGAAAAGCAGTGTAACCCAGCAGCTGATACTGACTCTAAAGTCAGGCTTCCTAATACCAAATCCTGAACCCATCCATTTCTGGAGTCTTGGGGAAAACTGCTTTATCATGGTCTCTCTCTGCCCCAAAATGCTCAGCCATAAATCGAGAAGAAGGCAATTTATGTCACTGCAAGTAGACAAGTTAACACATGCAAAACTAGCACTGTGTATCTGGCACATAACTGCTGAACAAATACCGCCTTTTCAGTTCTGTGGCTCACATAGCCCAGGACATGTCTTCATTTGAAAATATGGAACATTCCCTATATATCCAAGCCAGGTAGGAAACATTTCCTAGGTGCATGGTAAAGGATTAATGGCATACCTTGATGTGGATACCAAGAATATGGTCAAGGTCAATTCCATATACATGACATTAGTAAGTGATGTTGGTGGCTGTCAGTGGGGAAATGTTGTTTGGTGTACCAGGTATATATAAGGAATATATATTGAGACCTTAACAGAGATCTCAAGGTTAAAATCAAGTTTGGTTCCTGACAGACATACTAGTTGAATACATGAGCAGTGAGAAGACTGATGCAAGGCAAGGAGGTGGGAATGAGGCAGTGATGAGAGTGAGTAGGTAAGACTATGTTGATGTTCAAGAGAGGAAATTGGGGGTTTGGTAAAGGCCACTAGGTTTAGAAAATCCGGAGTAAGTAGGATGCCACTTAAGACTCTTAATATTTTAGCAAAGCAGTTTTTAATCTAAACATTTTTGAGATTAAGGAATTCATAGGCTCTGAAAAGTTGAAAGAATTGCCAGTAAAAGATGTCAAAAGTTTAATGTCCAAAAAGAAAATAGAGAACAAGTTGATTTGTCTAAGGATGACACACACCCAAGTGGATTTTGGGAAAAGAGGATGGATGGAAACCTTGTTTTTCTAATTCTTATATCCCCAACTCCTGACCTACACATGTCTAATGAAGGTTTCTTGAATATGAGAATCTAAACACCTGCTAAATAGGATACTTACTTGCATGTTAATGATCTTTAATGCAGCGGCCGTCTATCCTAACCAGGAACATCCTTTGGAAGTGGCTGAGGAGGGCCAGAGAGATGGCTCAGTGGGTTAAAGGCGCTTGCCGCCAAGCCGGATGACACGAGATTGGTCCCTGGCACCCAGATGGTGGAGTGCGAACAGACTAAATCAAGCTCTCCTCTGATCTCCGCATATGCTGTGCCATGTTCATGACCACACTCGTACACATGCAGACTGAACATGAATGTAACTTTTTATAATTCAAGCTCTCCTCTGATCTCCGCATGTGCTGTGCCATGTTCATGACCACACTCGTACACATGCAGACTGAACATTAATGTAACTTTTTATAATCCAAGCTCTCCTCTGATCTCCACATGTGCTGTGCCATGTTCATGACCATACTCGTACACATGCAGACTGAACATTAATGTAACTTTTTATAATCCAAGCTCTCCTCTGATCTCTGCATGTGCTGTGCCATGTTCATGACCACACTCGTACACATGCAGACTGAACATTAACATAACTTTTTATAATCCAAGCTCTCCTCTGATCTCCACATGTGCTGTGCCATGTTCATGACCACACTCGTATACACGCAGAGAGATTATTAATGTAAATTTTAAACGGAAGCTGAAGAGGTGAGGTCCCACAGTAGAGACCCATTCTTCTGTAGCCCACAGAAATACTGGCCAGTAGCTATAAAGGGTCTAAAGCACTCAGGTGTCTACAAATTAATCTATTTTTTTTCTTTCAGTTGATGAAGAACTGTCTCAGATTTCTGATCGCCAAAACAAGTATGGTTCTTCCCTATATAGGCAAATGAGACGAAGGTGACTGTTGGGATCACTCAGTGGATAAAGCACCGTGAATTCTAAAGGTCACAGAGCAGTGGTCAACAGAACCCTGGGGAAGTGAGGACAGTGAATGCATCAGCTACTATCACAGGACATCTATGTGATCTGGTATTAATGGCAGTTCTTCAGAAAGTGCCAAGGACTAAAAATCTTATTATGCTCAATGCATAAGGCACATCATGAGTTTCTTTTATTGTGACTACATTTACTTGAGGGGGGGTGTTTTTAAAATAAAATTTCTAGACCTCATCATATCACTACACGAAAGCTCACATAATTTTCCCTTTAAAGGTGAGGAAACCCTGACAGAAAGCAAATAGTAAAAGATGGTGCTTGGAGGGAGAGCTGTGAATGTGCCACACAAGAGTCTTCCATTTGACCCCCTAGCTGGTCTAAAACATGGCAGCTTCAGACAACATTCAAGACCTTTGTGTCTCCTCTCTTCCCAACTGCTTTAAGTCATCTCTGTGGCAGGCCACGACAAATAAGTGGAGTCTCAATGGTATGGGTCACTCACTAACATAGCTCTCCACATGGTGGAGATATTGATGTGGTCGTACCCGGGAAAGGAAGAGAAGGCAATGGTCATGTAATCCCCCAAGACAATAATTCAAGTTTTTTAGTAAAACCCAAACATCTGGGAGCTATTTCTAAATAGAAAGTCAGCACTTCACTAGCAGAATTCGTATCATTCAGTGGACTCTAAAGAACACAGATAATTGAAAAAAAAGAAGCATTCATTCAAGGTGACAGTTAAAATAAGATTATGCTCACTACCATATTCACCATACCTCTCTAGTTAATAGCAACAAAATGTTCAGTACTCCCTAAACCTGGCTATATTCAAACCTTTGCACATGACTCCATTGTGCTTTGAGTGGGTTACTTATGAAACAAGTGTGGTCTTTTTTTTTTTTTTTTAAGTACCAATTGTGGTAGTGACACTAATACAAGCATACAAGACTGTAATGATATGAAGGCAGAATGTCTCACTGTAGCCTGATACTTCTGACTCTTTCAGGCCCTCCCTGAAATTCTTCACAGGCGTTCAGTGACCTTTCTGTTGGCACTTCTCAAGAAATGTAACTCTCAGCTCAACTGAAGACATTCGCTTGTCCATTTCAATAGCACTCAATTCTATTGAGAATGTATGTTGGGTCTTTCAGAGTTGGGTAATTTCTAAGTGTTAATGCCATATGGAAGAAATAACACTAGACTTTCAGTTCTGGGAAGGATCTCTTTATAGCCTCTGGTGGAAGCAGTTTGTGTAAAAATGCTTTCTTCAACAGGAGGTGCGAAAGGACACAGCAGAGTCCCATCTTGGGCAGCTGCCAGCCAAATCTGTGGTTCAGCCATTAGAGTTTGCTCCCTCTTCCCCCAGAAACAGGAACGCCAGAAGTCTGAGCTTTGGCTTTGATGGATGTCTGATCACTAGCTTGACTACTGTGGTAACAGATGAGCTTGGAACACGCATGTTCTATACAGTAAGCATAACCACCTTGTCAAAGGATGGCTTTGTGTTCCAGGACACAATGAGAGTCAAGAATTAAAACCAGATGCGTGTGCATTTGCATTAAGAACACTGACTTGTTAGCTGGCTGTCAGGCAAAGTTCCACGGAGTTATTACCAACTCAATGCAGGCCCTCCTAACTTCACCAAATCTCCTACTAGCAGTCATCAGCTGCAGGGTCACATCTTTACTCTTTACATAACCAAACATCAGTTTAGCTCTCATCCAGTCATTGCCTCTGCCAGGTTCTAACCCAGGGAGTCTCCTTACACACTCCAAAGTGTGTTCCAACCTAGGCGCTGAATCCTTTCCCCAGGGAGCCACATCTATTCCCACAACCCCAAATGTTCTCATGCTTCAGCAGTTCCCAATCTCTTTTCTGTTCCCCCTAAACTACTGCTAATAGTCCTTTCTATTAACTAAAACAAGTATCCAGTAGGGGTTAACATTTCTCCAACTCCAGTCCTTCAATAAAACACTTCAATGGGTGCTTAAAGCACCATCACATGGCTCTTATTAGTTAGTCAATGAGAATAACTACGAATTCTTATAGAGCTATGAAAGCTTTTGGGTGGGGGGTTCTCTTTATGTATATGGTCTAGGACTCACTAAGTAGACAGGATGGCTTTCAACTCATCATCTTCCTGCCTCATTCCCATGAAGTGCCAGGATTATAGGCACAATTCACCATACCCAGCTTTAAGGCTGTGTTCGTTTTTCACTTTTTTAAAAAAAATTGCATTAGTAACTTGGCAGTTTGGTGTTGTCCAGGATGATCCTTCAAAGGCTTCCAGAAACGGACTGCCAAGTCCATGCCCACTCCACATCCTGACACTAGCTGGTAAGACAGAAAATCAGGAATGGAGGGGTACAATTCACATCTTCTGAAACAGTATTTGCAACCTCTTAATTATAAGATTACAAACTAATCTTTCCAGGGATTTCAGTGCTTTCTAGTAGCAACCGTAAAGTCAAGAACAGAGTTTCCTTGATATCTCTGGCAAAAGTAAGTCTTAGAAATCAGAATTCATATCTTATACCTGTCAGAATTTGGAAACGTTAAAACATATTTCAGATTAAAAACTTCAAAGCGGGCTGGAGAGATGGCTCAGCGGTTAAGAGCACTGGCTGCTCTTCCAGAGGTCCTGAGTTCAATTCCCAGCAACCACATGGTGGCTCACAACTATCTGTAATGAGATCTGACACGCAGGAAGAACACTGTATACATAATAAATAAATAAATAAATAAATAAATAAATAAATAAATAAATAAATAAATTAAAAAAAAAAAAAAAAAAAAACTTCAAAGCATGTTCTAAGATGTTATGGTTTGAATCTGCAATGCCCCCACAGGACCATGTGTTGAGCCTTGGTCCCTCATTTTCGTTTGCAGCTATAGGTAGAGCCCTTAGGAGGTGGGCCCTGGTTGGCAGAAGTGGACCACTTCAAGTGGGGTTTTCAAAGTTACAACTGTCCATGCTCCTGCCCTGCATGTCCTGCTTATTTGTGCATTATGAGGTGACTCTGCCACGCACTCCTGCTTGTGACCTGCTCCCCCATGCCTCCCTCACTGTGATGGACTGCAACTCTCTGAACTAGTAAGACAAAATAAACTCCCCCTTTAGATTCTGATTCCTAGTGTCAGGTGACAGTTCACATCCTAGCATGAATGATCCAAACGTGAACGGGGCAGGGAGCCCCATTACACACTCCCTTAAGATTTTTATCTATAATTAACAAGATTAAAGATTTAAAAATATTCTTCCTACTGAAAAACTTCAAATCTGTATCTTGAAACTCTTGGATCCACTTTCCTAATTAATCTGCCACTTGGCCCAGTTTACAAGTGAGATGAAGACATTCTGAGAATCCCTTTGTCAGAAGTATGAAGTATTTAATAAGATAGCCTTTATTGATGTTTCCACAGGGATGATTATCAACACTGTTCCAGGTGGCTCTTGAGGACTGTGTCTCTAAAATGCTCCTGCTTGCTCCAGGTTCCCTGTTCGTGCTGTCTCAGAATAGACCTGATCCCATGCCCTGACCGCACTGCCCAGCCCGCAGCTTTTGTAGAGGCCCTTTGCACCATCGGTATTATCATTAGATACATGTACAAAAGAAGAGTCCTCACCCCTCATCGCAGGAAGACTAGTAGATAATTTTTAAATATGATATCTATAATACTAACGTTCTGATGGAAAGTGTATGTACAGAAGCACATTTGGTTTCATAATATTCCCAAGGCTTGGCTAGCTGAGACAGTCTTCTCCAGAGAGTTGTTTTTGTAACAATTATAGAGAACGTGAGAAAGGCCTTTCACAAGTTGAGACATAATTTAGTGTGAACAGATCTCCAAGAAGATCTGTTTTGCAAATTATATTTCCTGTGCTCATTTTAAATGACTACATAAAGAAATTCTATATAACATTTCAAAAAGATTGTACTCTGTTGACCATTTTTCTGTGTCATGTTTAAAAGACAACGAAGCCCATAATGTGGTATGCTTCGGTGGAAGCTTCCCAGTCAGCCATCTCAATGACACGTGGATGAAGCCCCTCAGCCAGCCCGCTCCATCCACTGCATGAAGACACAGTGGACATAAAATCAAGCAGGGCCCGAAGCAGAGCAGCAAGGCACAAAGGGTGCAGCAGATAACTCCGTGAAAGCACACAACAAAGGAGGGCAGGTCTCCCTTGCAGAATTCAAACAAGCTGGAGCACCATTTCACCAGGTGCTTTCCCATTTCAGATCACTGGTGCCGGCAGCAGCAACAAATTAAAACAAACAAACCAAAAGCAGAGCTTAATCACTCTTAAAATGCTATTATCTTAAGTATTTTTACAAAACACTAGATTTTCTGATGGAAAAATAGCATTCCAGTTTATTTCTCTCATGTGTATAAAAAGAGAAGTGACAAGTTTATAGAATAAACAAACTTTTATTTTATAACAGTATTACATAAAGCAAAATACCATTTAATACAACTTGAAGCTGCTATAAATCTAATCTTGCATCATAACTATACAGAGTCAAAAGCAAATGAAAAACATGTTCAAGACAGTTAATAAGTCCCTCTCAGGTCTCTGGTGTCAGCTTTAAATGGTATAGCTTTCATATAACCAACACAATCCCACCACTGTCCCCTACCCTCTTCTCCGCAGCTTCCTCAACCCTGCGAGTCATCCAACTATCTTAAAGAGATATACCTGCTCAGTAACAAAGGGTCAGTTTTACATGTAGACAAAGAAGTTTAATACATAGCAAGTGCTCTACTCAAGTGTTCAGATAATGGGAAGTATCGAAACTGGAAAGGTTAAGAAGGAAAGCACTAAGGCTTTAAGCTGCCTGATTTCTTTTAGTAGGAAGAGGGAAGGGCACCTTCTGTGGTTCTCCTCCTGTTCTGGAATGCTGTGGCAAAGCATAGGTCTGAGAAGTACTGCACTGTGGGTGACGGTCTCTGAACACAGTGCTTGGTCAGTGAGCTTCGGAATTCTCCAGTCCAGAGTCTCTGACTCCACTAAAGTACAAAGTCACAGGACTGGAAAGTCAAAGGGCTCAGTATAAAAATCATTCGGAGTGAAAGTCCCAAATATTAGAAAATTTTCAAGATGTAAGAAATGCTTTTAATTGGTATTAATATGTTCTCATGCAATGTATTTACTGCAATCTCAAAACTGTAAATATGGACTGTAAGAATTCAATGGAAACAATCCTGAAGAATGAAAATTACTATCTAAATTAGTCACAGAGTTTCCTTTCCACATAACAGCACCTGTTCAAGTGAACAGCACCTTACCAGCCTGGGCTGGCTTTGTTCACTGTCATTTGAGCAAATGAGTCATACAAAGCAGTAGGAAAGGGAAACAAATATAAAACGCTTAACAAAAAAAAACAAAGAATTAAAAAAAAAAAGACAGAGGGAAAGAAAGAAAGAAAAGAGGAAGCAAGAGTATTTAGAAGTGGTTATAAAACAAAGAACGTATTAGAAATGCATGGGAATAGTATGGACCAGAGCTGTTAAGGTAAGGTTTGGTGTTGGCATTTTAATTCTGCAGGCTTCTGGTCATTGTTACCAGTTGTAGCACAAATTTGCTGGAGTAGTGGTGTGGCGTTAACACTTGGAATGATCAAAGTTCTTCCGGTTCATGAAGTTGAATGTTGCTTAAAAAATGACTTTCTAGGAAAGAAAAAAAGACACAGTGCTTAAATATTCCAAAAACAGGCTTAAAAAGAAAGTTATCAAACTTTTCAGTCAAGTAATTAATCGTTACCTGCCTAAGTCAACAAGAAATATAATACGATTACTGAAAACAAAGATGAGAGTTTATTCCAAACCAAGAAACTTGACAATTTCTGGAAAATTGGCAAGTACAGAAGAGCTGACATCAAAGACCACACCACATGATTTAATTACCACAGAAGATACGACACGCACAGTGCACCAACCCCCCCCCCCTCAACCCCCAGAGTCCATTATCTAGCTTTCCTTCTGCAGATGCAGGACCTACAGTTAACTGTGGTCCAAAGACATTACCTGGGCAATTCAAAAATGATGTCTGAAACTGAGGGTTGCTCTGAGTAGTACAACACTCTCTCACCCAGACCCACCCAGCTTATGAGTCAATATGGACATGCTACTTAGCCATTCATCACTTAGCAGCTGTATTGGTTATTAGGTCAAATATCATGGCCTCACAGTGGCTGCACCAAGTAGCCCCTAGTTTCCTTATTAATGGTCCCAAAGTGCCTGAGCAGTATCTGCAATTCAAATATGCTAAAAGGAAGTCATAAAGGGTTCCCTTAACTGAAAAGGTAAACGGGCCAGTACATGGAGGATTCAGTACTATTTGGTTTCAGGTATCTAACGGGAGCAGAGAAACAGAGATCCACTTCAGATGAAGGAGACTGCTGTAAAAATAAAAGTTAACCAATGCAGGTTTTAAGCTGGACTTGGGGAAAGTCAGTCCAATTGTATTGCATTAAGATGAACAGGAAGATTACCTCAGATGCTGAGAACAAGTGAGAGGCACAGAAGGTGTAGAGCATTAGGATACTAAGACAGACTTAGGGATTTATGTAGAAGAGGAGACAGAAGTGGATGGAGCAGCATGCTGAAGCAACACACACCGTCAGGAAAGGTAAGCATGGGGACCTAAGTGACGGGGTAAGAATATCAGGTCTGCTCTACAACACTGAAATGAGAAGTATGAAGTTGAGTTAATAAGGGGGGGGGGTTGACAAAAGATCACCTGCCATGATCCAGAGGAGAGCACAGCACCAGGGAGAAGGAGGAAGGGAGTCCCGAGTTAGGGGCAGTCAGCTCTGCAGAGTATGAACCCGGCATAGCTGGACTCGGAGTTCAGAGCACTGGTGCGTGCTCAATGTGATGAGCATGCTGAAGGAAGGTGAAGGGCAGCGGAGGCCAGAGCTCCAGTCAGGGGCCTCACAGCTGGAGACCAGGTGTTACTATGCAAGGGGGAGACTCGGACTTGGTTGTTGCCACAGAAGAAGAGTGCGCAAAAATAGTTGACTGTGGTGATTAAGGAAGGATGATTGCCTAAGAGGCAGAGGCAGGGGCAGGTGGAACTCCGTGACTCTGAGGCTAACCTGGTCTACATAGTGAATTCCAGGGCAGCCAAGGCTACAACAGTCACACCTTAAAGTCACAAAATAAAACAAAAACTAAAAGCAACTAAAAAGAAAGAATGTTCATATATAATTACAAAGTCTGGGGCCTAAAAGGAGGAGGGACCTAAGAGGAGAAGGGGGGTAGGCATAGAGCCTGTGTGAGCCACTAGGACTACAGGATGGATCTGTGTGTCAGCACAAAGGGATCCAAGCAAGACTAACAGGTACAAGGAAATCGAATGTATCAGAAAAAAGAAAATACAGAGTCTTGGGGAAGCTCACAAGCCCATAGTCAAAGGCAGACAACAGCACAAAGGACTAAAAATGATTAACCATTCCTGAGCTAGCAAAACCTTTTTAGATGCATCTGTTTCATTCTGTATTTCAACTTGGCAAAAATTCTGACAAATGCATAATTATAGAGGACAGTGGACATTAATGTTCCTTCCAGAAGATACCAGTCCCAAAATAAATCAGAATGAACATGGTACTGGTGAGATCAATTTTGATAGGGGAAAAAATACTCCCCATTATTTAGAAAGAGCACAGATAATATTAAAACGTCTTGATTACTTGAGGCAGGATGACTAATCAAATCCATTGTTTCCCACCCTGCTGTCTTAGGCTATTTCATTACTCAGTAGTACTTCCGCCTGAGTCTAGGCAGGGGAAATCAAGGGAAGCAAAGTCATCCAGGCTAGCAATCCCAAAGGGAAATGTAGGGGATGGTGAGGGAAACACAGATAACCGAACAAACTGCTCTGCAGGGTTATCTGTGACCTTTGGTCTTCCTACCTAGGCTTGTACTTTGACATCTAGTATCTCTTGAGGCTCTGCTGGGTAAATGTGTATCATCTGTTAAACACAGCTACCTCATCTGTCTAGTTTACAGTAGAAAACAAACCCCTTCCCCCACTGAAATAATGCTTTAGCTATAATAGGTTAGATACATTATTAAAATTTGAAAGAGAAAAACAAGATCAACGTTAGCTATCTCTGAAAACTACAGTAAAAATGACAGTTTGAATTATTTATGACACTTTATCTAGGTTTGGTGTCATTTCTTTAAATTTGTTTTCATCAAAAATGTCATAAAATTAGAAAAGAGGGCCAAAAGTATTTGTTTCAATGACATTACAGGAAAACTAGAAATGTGTGGGAAACTGAAGACAACAGATATTGAAGAAAAATCTTCAAGACCTATTGGACTTAACATGAAGACACACACATTAAAATGTCTCTTACTCCCAATCAGTTACAGGAAATCACAAAAAGGTATAATAGCCTAATTTTTCTGGTAAAATCACAAATGGCAACCTTGACATGCTTCTAGAATTCCAAGCAGCTTTTAGAATCTAAGAAATCTCCATTTTAATGTCAAATGCATTCATTACATTTTTACATAAGTTAACTATTAGTTAACTGGACTCCTTACTGTTTTAGATGGATGAGCAATAACTTCCTTTGTATAGCTCTTTATTTATGCACCCATGTATCTTGACTCTTCCTGCATCTAAACACAGCATGCATTCCCTAAGCATTTAGGTATGAACTAAGGAAGAAGAGAGACAAGGATGGACCCACTGATGTCACTGGCATATACACATTAGAAGTTTTCGTTTTTCTTTCTTCTTTTTGAACCTCTGAGATATAAACAATATAGGATAAGTTTTTATTCTGGGCCTAAATGGTTGACACTTAACCCAACCAACAATGAGGCATCGCACCTTTTGGTAAGAGCCAAAGTGTTTCAAGAACCTCTCCCTTGCCCTGCCTGTGCTGGCGTGGACAAGGACCTGGCATGCCAGGTAAGCATCCTGCCTCTGAGCCACATCTCCAGTGCACAGCCCTCTTTCTTTGTTCTTTTGCTGAGACAGGGTCTCACTGTGTAGCCCCGGCTGGCCTAGAACTTTCTATAGACCAGGCCGGCCTCGAACTCAGAGATCTTCTCTGCCTCTACCTCCCAAGTATTGCAATTATATGTGTGCACCACTGTGTCTAACCTTTTTATGGTAGGACTGAATTCTATTCCACATTTTTACAAGTCTGGACACAGTTTTTTTTTTTTTCTTAGTACAAATTGGCAGGTATTGATATCTTCACTTTCACAACATCACAAAGTTTGTTTTAAGGTCAATGTTATTAAGTTTATGAATTATAGTTTATGGATTAGGATTATGGTCAAGCAAACAGAAACCATCCTGGATTATGCAATGTTAGTAAACATTTCTAATTACTACAGTCATTCCTGAGCTTGTGAAAATGGGTCAGTGTGGCTACACACCTCATTATAGGTCTAACTCCAGGTTTAAACTGTTTAAGAGCACATGCTGTTCCCATGCTTGGCTGAAGCTCTCACGGGTTTGGAGATCCACTTTACTTTGCCCAGAGCACCTTGTGCAGCAGTGGAAAAACACTGAGGTCCATGACAGAAGCATTACAATCTCACTTAAAAGGCCCAACCTCAGTTTTGAGGTTCACATATGTCTCAATCTTGAGACCGCTGAGCTCCAGAAAGTGAATCAGTAAATTGGTTTTTAAAAGCATTTAACACTGCCTTTAAATGGGAAAGCCCTTATCCAGGGAGAAGTCTGAATAAAAACAAAAACGATTTTTTTTTTTTTACAAACTAATGAAAACAAATGCAAAAAATAATGCAAAAGTCTTCAAATTAAAGAAAATTCAATTACCATTGAGCAGTAATAGAATCAGGGATGTAGAAAACAGAAATAAAAATATGTATGTAAGACACAATACAATTATTTCTGAAATTACAAATGAGTTCTGTGTAGTCAGGCGTGATAGTCATTTCTAAAGATGAACTTTTTATTCTTTTGTTTTTAATTTGTATGCTTAATTTTCAATTTCAAGCAGTTTCTATTGTTTACATTATTAGAATCCTAAACCCCAAATGCAAATATTCTGAATTTCCACTAGGCTAGCTCAGGAATTGTTAGTGTTTGTATTACCAACAGAGTGTGGTCTACAGATTGAGGGCTGCCGAGACTCCGTCTGGAGGCCATACAGCCCCCCACTACCTTCACATCATCAGTCGCACTATGACAGGCTTTGCTCTTTCAGGGCGCCAATGGTAGAGCTACAGTGCTAGGAAACGGTGACATTTTGGCAATGCTGTGCCACCAGTGGACTCCATTAGGAGGTCTGGCTTAACCCCCCACTTCCCCCTCTTTTCTTCTGAGATAGGTCAGGGCTGGCTCTGATTCACAGTCCTCATGCCTCAGCCTCACCACTGGCAAGGTTACCGTGTTACATCACTACATCTAGAAACTCATTTCCTCTTCGCCAGCACACCCTCAAAACAAAGACTCATGTCATGGACACATGCTTGGGCTGAGAGATGAAGAACAGAACTGTGGGCACAACGATCCTTCAGGTAAGTTTGAAGACGGCTTGTACAGAAAGTGCTCTCCCTAAGCTACTGCTGTTTCCTAAATGGGGAGGTGGGGTATCTCCCCATAGGAAGAAACAATAAATGCTTGCTTGTCCTGGTTTGCTGAACCTGTCGATGCATAAGAGAGCAATCATGTC